GTGAGGAAGGCCTCTTCTGTCCTGGGCTGCCCTCTGGATTCGGTGGAGGAAGTGGCTGAGAGGAGGATGCTGTCCAAACTCAATATGTGACCAGTGAATTTCTCCGCTGTGAGATCAATAAAGCTCATCTAATCTAATCTAATCTAATCATCTAATCTAATCTCTTATCTTGGGCCAAACGTCTTATTAGTAGTTTCACTACATTCAGTATTCTGTATTTACACCGCCCGCTGTTAGTACTTAGACTGCTATCTAATTTCTATAACGCAGCTTAATTGGATTGCTTTCCTTTTATCACACTTTAAGATCATTAAAAACATTTAATATCAGAAGTAGAAAAACAAAATTATAATTTTATCAATTAAGGAAAAAAGTACAAATCATCCTGCTACAATGACTTTATTCAACTAGATGTTTAGATGTTTTGTTTACTAAACACTTCACCCCGAATTAGAGGGTGATTCAATAAGTAGGTCTGACAACATGATATAGGCTTACGTATTTTAAAAAGCAACACTTAGTGCCCTTATTCAAAATCTCTTACATTTATCATGCTTGGAACAATTACACACATTTTTTAAGGCTTTTGCACACAAGCAACAGTAATAAAATCCTTATCTACCATAATGTCAGCTGACTGAGACAGCGGGCCAAGAAGTTCAGCTTCACAGACATTGAATAGTGCACCACTACTTAATGATTGGCTAGAGGCCCAGAAACTATCACCCATTCTTAAAGGAGGAATCCAGAACAAAGCATTGCTAGATGAAATCTGCTACTAGTCAATAACTAGATGCAATCTGCTACTAGTCAATGAGTCATAGCAATATGCTACTAATCAATGACTAGATTCAAATCTGTTTATTTTTTCATAGCGCCAATTCACAACACGTCATCTCAAGGTAGTTTACAAATCAACCAGATTTACTAGACTGACGACTGGTCAGATTGGTTCAAAGTTTTCTATCTAAGGAAAACCAGTTCATTGCATCGACTCATTGACTCGAAGGCAATCCCTCACACTAAGCAGGCTTGTAAGGACAATGTAGGTGAAAAAACTCAGTTTTAACAGAAATAAACCTCCAGCAGAACCAGGCTCAGTGTGAGCAGCCATCTGCTGAGGCCCACTGGGGTTCAAGGAATGCAATCTGCTATTCAACTAGAAGCAATCTGCTACTAGTCAATGACTCACAGCAATCTGCTACTAGTCAATGACTATATGCAATCTGCTATTAGTCAATGACACACAGTAACCTGCTACTAGTCAATGACTCACAGCAATCTGCTACTAGTCAATGACTATATGCAATCTGCTATTAGTCAATGACACACAGTAAC